ACGACGAACTACGCCAACACAAACACTGCACATGCATCCTTTGCACTCGAAATAAACTATTTATATATTCAGGCAGTGGAGGGACAACATTTTACTCAATTCGGCCAGACTTTTTTTTTCTCAAATGTTCGGGCCTAGATGCTGACGCGGTGCCATGGTTAGCACTTTTGAGAGGTCACGGGTTCAGTCTCCAGGTGCGGCAGTTCAAATCGTTGGCAAATGTCTCAATTCCTCCCCCTTCCCCATTAAACCGCCACTGCGGCCAACCCAGCAGTTTAAAAGGGTACATCACACAGATCGATCGATCGGCAGGTCACGTGCGGTGGCGGGTAAAGCGTGGGTACTCCCACCTCTCTTCCAAGACGTCCGGCCAACGTGCAAGCAGAAGAAGAAGAGTAGGCCAAATACCCTCATTGGGGGGAACTCCCCTTCGAAGCTCCCTTCTCGTGGACGTCACTTCAGACAGCAGTGGCGTGAGCGAGACATTTCAGGAGAGGGCTGCGCATTTACCCGTGTGGCTAATGACCCCCGGGGATGATCAGGCAGTGTCAATGAAATGCTTTTGGTGAGTCCACGTGGACTTTGATTCTGTCCCACGACGGCCTGAATGATATCCAGGCTATTATCCTGAATGTGTGTGGTGTGTGTGGTGTGTGTGTGTGTGTGGTATGTGTGGTGTGTGTGTGGTTTGTGTGACTTTAGCCAGTCACAGCACGTGTACACCCGTTCGGTAAATGCCGTTCACGAAGCGTTCATAAATATTGTGCTCATATTGTGACGTGTAAGTGCAGTTACATCTATTCTCTAGCAGTGTATATACACTCACATACTTCGTAAGGTGTGGAGATCTGAGCAATAAATCATCCTTCCACGCACCTGTATGTTAACATTAATAATACAATGATTAAGGCTTTACATTATTGTATTATATATATAAAAAACAACGTTTTGTGCCTGAATCACTTGTAAAAAGAATATATACATATTTTAGATCGAAATTTAGCCATCACGTTCGATCGTATAACATTAACAATTAATATACACAACGAAAAGGGTGATCCGTTTATAGATACCTCACCTGTTTCTCACGACCCCCTCACTTCCTTCCCAATTTGCCGATGGGACTCTTTGTGAGATTGATGGCTCTTCGTGTCTTGTCGAGGGTTTAAACAAAACAAATATCGACGTTTTCAGATTGGTGGGAGACGCGTGCCAGAGGCTTAGCGAGTAAAATCGTCGATTCCTGAATACGTTCCTCCAAACTTGTTTTAGTGGGGGTATCTGTAAACGGATCGCCCTGCAGAACACGCACGACACGCACGACACGCACGCGCCACGTGAACTTACGCAGCACGTGGCCACACTAAAAACACACTCGTCCAGCCCAATTTAGTCTCGGTTGGAGTTTTCTACAGACTATTGATTAAAAAAAAGAAATTCTAAAATAACAGCCAGTATGTCAATCCACTGCTGGATGAAGGCCTCTTCGTTGCCCGTCGATCACGGATGGGGGGGGGGTAGTGGGAGGTTTAGGGGGTTCCTTCATCACAGGAGCAGGAGAAGGGGGGGGGGGTATGTGAGGAAGAAGCGCCGGGGTAAGGACGCGAAGACTTCCCCGGGTGCCCGTTGCCGAACACGACGTGCGCACGACGTCTGAAGGACTTAATCCCTTGACGAACTGGAGAAAGGACGGAGATAAATCACGTGGGGCACATAGTGGTCAGCAGCGAGGTGAGAAGGACGGGGGTGAGGGAGGAGAGAGAGAGCGAGAGTTCACACACACATACAGAGCTGATCTTGAGCCAATCATTTAGCTGGAACGCGCCAGTGAGTCGAGTACTCGAGTACTCGACTCACTGCACAGCCAAACGCGTTCGACTCTAAACACTCAACGGCGCAGACGACGGTCGCCCCTCCCCCCCTCTTTCCAAGCCAGTACCTGACGATGACGATTTGGCAAGACAGGGCGAGGTGAAGGGGATCTGCCCACGAGGTCTGCAGCGAGGATGGGGTCAAAGGTGGAAAGTCGGCGCTCTACGAAATATATTGCACTCCCTGTTGGTGACTCGTTTGAAGGCTCAAAGAATAAATATATAAATCGGTGCGTCGCTGGCTACGACACGTGGATCGGAAACGTGGACGCAGCCAAAGAAAGGGGAAACAGTTTAACACGTGGCAGGCTTTCGCGATTAATATCCATAACACAGGGTTTTTTTGGGTTAGATCGCGTAAATGTATAAATGTGTCGTTAAATCCGCCACCACCCGACACAGCCAACTAGTAAGGGGTTGCACGTAAACAGAACGTGGCCAATCCGTCACTAGTACAGCACTAGTGTATAATGTAGTGTATAGTGTAGTGTATAGTGGTGTAGTGTATAGTAGTGTATAGTGGTGTAGTGTATAGTGTAGTGTATAGTGTAGTGTATAGTGGTGTAGTGTATAGTAGTGGTGTATAGTGGTGTAGTGTATAGTAGTGTAAAGTGTAGTGTATAGTGGTGTAGTGTATAGTGTAGTGTATAGTGTAGTGTATAGTGGTGTAGTGTATAGTAGTGTATAGTAGTGTATAGTGTAGTGTATAGTGGTGTAGTGTATAGTGTAGTGTATAGTGTAGTGTATAGTGGTGTAGTGTATAGTAGTGTATAGTAGACTAGTACAGCACACCGGTGTGTTGGAGAGGAAAGCCACAACATTTACAATCTGAGTACGACGTTTCGCCAATACTTACAACTGGCTTCATCAGGCGACAGCCAGACTTGTGGAGAAGTCCTCCTGTTTCGTTCCTTATATAGAGGCGTAAATGTGGTGGCCAATGCGTTACTAGTACAGCACCACGGTGTGTTGGAGAGTAACGGATTTGGCATGTTCTGTGTACGTGACAAACATCACTAATTAGCTGTGTCGCGTGGGTAGCGAGTTGAGCGACACATTTATATATATTATTATACATTTACGCGATCTAAAAAAACCCCAACAACAACAACCTGTAGTATAAAGGGGGGAACCAAAAGCTGAAAATTGCGCAAAGAAGCACGGAGAGGTTGCACGCCGGGAACGACAACGAGACACAGAGAGAGGAAGGCATCGTTATAGAGACATCACATTTGATTGCTCTAAACAAAAAGCAAAGTGGACTTGGGCAGGACGCAGCATGGCAAGAAGGGACGACGGCCGAGTGTCGAGATTGGTGACGGAGGGGTGGCAGCCCTAAGGAAGAAGCGAACTCCGTTGAGGTGTAAGAATGAGATCAGCTCGTGGCGCGGGAGCGAGACGGATTGTGGCCATCGAAGGTCCACGTGATAAGGCGACGGGCACGTGGGGAGGCCTTCATCCAACAGTGGATAGACCATGGCTGATGATGAACAGAAGTCAAGCGATATTCAATCGTGGTGCAACGGGGTGTGTCCATTGTATGGTTATAGTGCCACCCTTTAATTGTCTACCACTTGGAAGCGCAAGTTAACCGATAGCTAGCGTTACTAACATGGCCCATGCCTTGCATCTTGCAACAATGCTGATTGCGTATGATGCAATTAGCATCATACACAAAGCAGCCCCTTCCACGTGTGTGGAGGTCACACATTAAGACCTGGGTGGTAAGTTGCGCATGAGAAGCAAAGTGATGATTACGATGTTTTGATGATGATTATACGACGACGTTGTTGATGATGAGATGCTGCTGCTGATGATGATGATAATGCTAGCAACGGTGTTGATGAATGTTGATGATGCTGCCGTTGATGTAGCTGCTACTGACGATGACTTGAAGATAACGACACGATTGATTCTGCTGATGGTGTTGCTACGACACTCTCTGTACATATAAATTACCAAAGTTTCGCTTTTCTCTCGGTTACAAAAATATATATGTATATCTAAAACGTGTTAGTCTCTACTCTCTGACACAGCACCCCGAGCAAACGTCAGCGACACCAGCGCTTCTATAACGACACCTGGGCAGCTGCGGTAGACACGGCCGCGCTTCGCTCTCACAGGCGCTCATCAGCTAAGCCACGCCAAATCAACAAACTGCCAGGGCACGTCCCGATTGCTGTAGGCGAGAAGGCCCTCTTCTTCCAGTCTCTTGCATGTGTTTCTTTCTTTCTTCCTTTTTAACGTGAGAGGCATTATCCGCTTAATGTAATGGATTAAACGTGGCCTCCTAAAATCGTTCAGGACAACAAGGCGCTGCAGTCTGCGTTGGATGATCGCGCCCGTGCTGCAGCTGGCTTGCCGCTGGAGAGCTTCTCCGATGTATTTTTTTGGGGGTGGGGGGCGGAGGGGGGAGTGGTCGTGGCCGCGTGTTCTTCTGCACTATGTCCGAAGTTACGTTTCATGCGCTGGGCTCATTTTAGTTCCGGAACAATCTGCCCCTGTACGATTTTTTTTAGCGATGCGTCTGACATCGGCGGCCGAACAAATCAACGAATCATCGGAGGTGCCAAACAAAAACAATAATTGTCCTCTTGCGCAATAAACGGTGTCCTCTGCACGTGAGCGATGAGAAGACCGACGGTTTGGAAAGTGCCATTCTCAGAGACAGTGCTGTGGGTACGATGGGGGGGGGGGGGGGGTATCTCCAAAAGACGCAACGTGGACGCAGCCGCGACACGTGCTTGAGAAGCATCCTCCCAGTGGAGTAGATCCGCCACGTGCTCATCCCGAAATAAATAAATCACGGCTTACAGCATCGTGCTGTTAAGAAGCGTCACAGGTGTGTTTGTGTCCACGTTGTGTCCACGTGTGTGCGTGTACCCATTATAACTGTTAAAGAAGCGTCACAGGTGCTATCGGTGCTGGCTGTTCGTAATCTGTTCTAAATCGCCACCGCAGTGTGTTTGTGTCCACGCGTGTGTGTGTACCCATTAGAACTGGGCTTGTGCCGTGACCCTCTGTGACCTCTTGCCGCCGAGCCTTCGACAATTCGCGTGACCTCAAAGTGCACCTAACCTGACCCACAAGCGCCTTAAGGACTGGGGATCGTTATTGTTGTTGTTGTTGTTGTTTGATAGTTCCTGCTCACGCCGTGTACGCATTCGGGTCGAGGCGAGCCACGAGCGCATATGACGACGGGAACGGCAGCGCGGGTTTCGTCGGAATCGGCTTCCACACGATGGGCTTCACGGGGGTCGCTTGCAAAAGCCCCGCCGCCTTCAGCCCGGCCATCCCTTCCCCGTGCAGCAGCATAGGTTCGATTGCCCGCTCGGGCGTCCCCTGCAGGGTTCGCGCCTCGAACCGCGTCCAGAAGTCGTAGGCGGACATCAGTCGCGACGCCGCCGCCGCCGCCGCCGCGGTTGGCGAAGCGGGGCCGATGTGTCCGACGTGGCCGAGCTGCGGTGCCGGCAGGGCCTGCAGGGCCTGCAGGGAGCCGAGGTACCGCGCTGGGGCCGGGTAGTAGGAAGCGGCGGCCGCGTAGCACGAGGCGCAGGGAGAGGCCCCGCTCGCGTCTCCCGCGAACGCGGCGGCCCCGCAGTACGGCTGGGTCGGGGGGTGCGCGGCGCACGCTACCGCGGCGGCTACGGCGGCTGCGGCGGCGTCCGCGCAAGACGGCGGCCCCTGCAGGAAGCTCAGGTGGCCCTTCGACATCTGCACGAGCGGTTCCATTCCCTGGAGGAGGAGCAGCTGCTGCTGCTGCGGCGACTGCCGTTGCTGTGGCGGCGGCGGTGGCAGCGGTGGTAGCGGGGGAGGTAGCGGCGGTTGTTGTTGTTGGTGGTGGTGGTGCTGCTGCTGCTGTTGTTGTCCGACTCCAGCGCGCGTCGCGAGCTGTCGCGTCGCGTCGCGCATCATCGCCCGGATTCGGTGGTCGCCCGGAGCGACGAGCGACGAGGCGCCAAAGGCGCCTCCTCTCTCGCCGCGAGGTCTCTTCTCGGCCGGCTCGGGCTCTTTCCAGAAGGACGCGGGCAGCTGTCGCTTCCTGAGCGGCACGTTCTGCTGCTGCTGCTGCGCGGCGCCAAGGGCGCGGACCACCACGGGCGCGGCCCCCATGGCCCTGCGCGAGGGGTCGTGCTGGGAGATGGGAGGCCTCGAGCGCGGAGCTAGCGGTGCCGACAAAGCCATCCTCTGGTCTCCACGATCCGCCGCCGTTGCCCTCCTCCCCCTCCTCGTCGTCTCTTCCTCGTCGTCTTCGTCGTCGTCTTCGTGGTCTTCATCCTCCTCGACCGAGAAGCGAGGCGGTTGCTTCAGCCTGGAGCAGGCAGCGGACGCGCCGGGGAAGGGCCTCGGGATGAGAGCGAACGCGTTCGACTCCCCGTCGCTGCTCTCCGCCGAGGATGAGAGCGCCGAGCAGGCGGGGAGCGAGGCGGAGCGAGGGTCGCCTCCGCACGGCGTCGGATGCCGCCCGGAGACTGCGCCCGAGGCAGATGACGACGACGAAGAAGACGAAGAGGATGAGGACGAGAGGGTGCTCCCCGCGGAGGTCGCTCCAGATCCGGATCCCGACGCGCAGTAGATCGCGCGCTTCTGCGAGAAGCGCTTGAGCTGCTTCTGCAGGTACTTGCGGTGATCCACGGAACGCTTGCACGGCGTCGACTTGTCAAGCGCAGCCTTGATGTCGCTCGAGGCGAGGTTCACGAAGTTCAGCAGCGTCTTCACATCGCTGTCTCCGCCGCATTGAAGCGCCATGGCTCGGCCTGCAGGAACGCAGGGTGGCTCGTGGCGGACCCTGTCCCCCCCCCCACCCCGAGACAAGAGCGATCGCTCTCGACGACGGTCAGAGGCAGCGGATGTTGAAGTTTCCGTTCCGATTGAGAGTTTGGAGGAGTCACCAAGGCGCGCGGTGACCGCCGGAGTGAGTGGCTCGTGGGTGGCCGCGGCGGCTGGATCGCGAAAAGCGACGCGTGATTTACCGCGGTGCTCGCTGTGCCCCCCCCCCCCCCCACCGCCTATCTCGCCGTTCGTCTCACGCAGACTCCGCCGATGCTCTCAGCGAGCCGAGACGAGTGTCGTTGCATTGCGAACTTCTCGCAAGAACATCTCTCCTAAATGCGCAAAAAAAACTAATTCGCGAAGGCACTGAGCGCGGCTACGTCATCGCTTTGCGGACTTTAAACAATCAGAACGACGTCGTAACAAATAAGCAAAACAATCGGAGGAGGATGGGGGTGGGGTGGGGTGGTGAATTCTCAATCGATTAGGAAGAGCGAGGAGGAAGGATGCGAAGGAGACGGAGCGAGCAGGGCAAGTGGAGCTCCGCGCGCAGTGAACACAACGCGCGTGCGTGCGCGCGCGACCCGAGTTGATTTCTCTGCGGTGTCGCGCGCGCGCGGGCACGCGACCCCCCCCCCCCCCCCACTGCCCTCCCCCTACCACCCCCCTGGTGATCACGGCACGCACGCGCGCGCACACAAAGTTTGGGTAGGGGGGTGCGGGAGGGTTGGGTGGGTGGCTGGTGGTGGTGGTGGGGGGTAGGGGTTAAGGTGGGGGGGCGTTGGGGGGGGTGATGGAGGAGCGTGGTGCGATTTGGCAGTGTGATGTTGACGGAGCGTGTCAAGGATCGCCAGATATGACGCTCACGATAATCGTGCGCGGTGTATTATTGTCATAAAGTCGTTGCAGTATCGGAATTATGATGATAACGATCATCATCATCATCGTGACGATCATACGTGTTCGTTATTCATCATCATAAACTAGACACCATTCATGTGCTGCATAACAGCATCATAAACTATATGTCTGCATTATGACCATTAGAATCGTCATCATACGCCACGCACACTCAGCATAAACCGGACACAATCATTCTGCGTTTAGCGACATCACAAACTCGGTAGCACCGTCAGCACAAGCAGCACCGATACCGCCTTAACGACCACCACCAACCACTACCACCAACCACTACCACCAACACTGCAGCCAACAACAACCCAAAGTACCACGACCATCCAAGTTCAAGTATATTCTGTTTGACCAGGTCACAACTCCAAGAGGCCAGGATCGGAATTATCATTTTTCGAGATTGACCACTGCCACCACTGCCACCACTGTCGCAATCTCATCTCACCTCTCCCACCACTTGGCCCCGACCGCTCCCTTTGAGAATTGCGACTCCCTTTCCACACCACTCCCGCACCTCTCAGCGACGATCTCTAAGCCACGAGACACCTCCTGCTCTCCGTCGCGCGCTTTTGGATGCGCTTTTGCGGCCGTCTGGAACGCTCTTCCTTCCGATATTAGGAAGCCACTGGAGCTATGCGTACTTTTAAATCATCGTCTAGATTTACAAACTCATTTCTTTGAAACTGCGTTTGTGTTTAGTTTGTTGTCCTTCCCCTGCACCTTCGATTAGCACGGTTGGCTACGTACGGTGCGAAAGAAGTTCAACATACATAGACTCAGCTCCCTGCATCACCGGAGGGATCTTCTGATACTCGAGAATAAACCGAGATTCGGTCCCGAATCCATCCTCTTCGGTTCTACGAGCGCGGGAGGCGTTTCATCATCATCATCATCAGCAGCAGCAGCAGCAGTATCATCAGCAGCAGTATCATCATCAGCAGCAGTATCACCAGCCGCAGTATCAGCAGCAGCAGTATCATCATCATCAGCAGTATCATCATCAGCAGCAACAGCAGCAGTATCATCATCAGCAGCAGTACCATCATCATCAGCAGCAGTATCATCATCAGCAGCAGTATCATCAGCAGCAGTATCAGCAGCAGCAGTATCATCAGCAGCAGTATCATCACGAGGAGCAGCAGCAGTATAATCAGGAGCACCAATTTCAGCAGCAGTTGCATGATCAACACCGTTTGTTATCATCGTGAAAACTCCGTTATCATAATTTGTATGAAAAAAAACATGATTGCAGCAGCAGTCCTACATTATATGCATAATCATGATCATCATCATATTTCAAATGAATGTAAAAATCATGCTTTATCATCACCGCCGTCAATTATCTCAGCACGACCATCAACTTCAGCGCGCATCACGACACGCGATTCTCTAAACCCACAGGCACGCAGCCACCATGCCACATTTCCGTCGTCAACAAAAAGCAAACCAAGAACACTGGGCAAATTCAACGGTTCAGGCCATGCTCCTTCGTCAGACTTAAACAGAGGGAATCCGATGCGACGTGCATCGCTTGGAAGGTGGTGATGAGAGCGATGGGAGGTGGATAAGAGTGCAGGAAGAGAGTGCAGGGTTGAGATCAAGTGATACGACGAAAAGAGAAGTGGAAAGTAGAGACGAGAGGATGGAGAAGGGAGATAGAGGGGAGAGAGAAGGGAGAGGAGGGGAGGGAGAGAAAAAAAAGAGAGAGAATGGAGAGGGAAAAAGAGAGAAGAAATAAACGTGAAGAAGAGAGGGACTAAGAAAGAGAATAGAGAAGAGAGAGGCGAGCGAATGGGAGTGAATAGAGAGGTGTGAAGCGATGATGGGAAGAGAGGAGGCGAGAGGAAGAGGAGGTGGAGGAGGGGGGCACATAAAGCAAAGCATTAAAAAAAGCGAAATGATGAACGAAGCAAAGTGCCGACTACACCGAGCATCTTCTTGTTTCCTCTGATCGTAAAAAAAAGAGAGAGACGGCGTGGAGTGATATCGCAGTGCTGTTGCCCTGGACGTGCCGTTCGTTCCGTCTCCCAGCCAACGCGAGTGCGCAGAGCGGAGTTTCACGACGGTGGCTGCGGGTCTCTAGGTGGTCGACTCGAAAGGGGAATTCTTGAGGATGCGACAAGTTGCCTCGGCAACGGCGTCGCGAGGAAAAAAAGAAGAGGGCGAGAGAGAGAGAGCACGAGAGAGACTTTACGAGAGAGCGAAAGAGAGAGAGAGAGAGCGCAGCGAGACAAACAAAAAAAACCTCAAAAACGAAACAAAAAGGCCGTGAACAAAACCCACTCTGTGCCGTGGCCACACAGAATCCACTGCTGGATGAAGGCTTACGGCCACGCTGCATCAGTCATAGGAGGTGGGGTGGGGGTTGTTGGCCATACTTCACCCGACTGGTTGAGTGTGTGTCGTCAGTCACAGGTGGGGGGCGGGTGACCATACTTCACCATCTTTGTTAAGTGTGTGTCGTCAGTCATAGGAAGTGGGGGGGGGGTGTTGGCCATACTTCACCCGACTGGTTAAGTGTGTGTCGTCAGTCATAGGAGGTGGGGGGGTGACCATACTTCACCATCTTCGTTAAGTGTGTGTGTGTCGGCGAAGCGCAGCCTGAATAAATAGTAAAAACAAAACCGCATGACTGACGCGGCGTGGAGGGCGTGGGGGAGGGGGGGCTTGATCCAGCAGTGGACTGAGAATGGCTGGAATGAATTTATTTTTAATTTGCGATTGTGACCACATGTAGGGTGGTCGCGACTCGCAGCGCCGTCCGATGTGCCGAAGGCATTGGTCACATCGCTGCGGCTGTCGTGTGAAACTATATTGAACAGCAGAGTTGATCAATTAAGCAATTAAACACTCCAGCGGTCTCTCCCCTACCCCACCCACCCCACCCACCAGCTCCCCGGAGTGTTATAGATGATTTTTTTTTAGAGCCAGTTTCTCGAGGCAGTCAACTCCGTACGCCTGAGCAGCGCCGCATAAACACCGCCACTGTTTCTCGAGTCGCGCCGCCCTTTGAGTCGCGAGCTCTCCATCTCTCCCTCCCTCTCTCTCTTCCTCCCTCCCTCTCCCTCCCTCCCCACACTCCCTCCCTCTCTCTCTTCCTCCCTCCCCACACTCTCTCTCTTCCTCCCTCCTTCCCTTTCCCTCCCCACACTCCCTCCCTCTCTCTCTTCCTCCCTCCCTTTCCCTCCCTCCCCACACTCTCTCCCTCCCTCTCTCTCTCTCTTCCTCCCTCCCTTTCCCTCCCTCCCCACACTCCCTCCCTCTCTCTCTCTTCCTCCATCCCTCCCTCCCCACACTCTCTCCCTCCCTCCCCACACTCCCTCCCTCTCTCTCTCATCTCTCTTTTTTTGCGATCAGAGGAAACAAGAAGATGCTCGGTGTAGTCGGCACTTTGCTCCGTTCATCATTTCGTTTTTTTGTTTTTTTTTTAATGCTTTCCTTTATGTAACCCCCCCCTTTAAATGAAAGACCCAACAAGATATTTTTCTTCTTTTTTTTCTGCTCTCCTTACCCCTTCCCTCTCTCTCTACCCCCCTCTCTGCCCCTCCTCTCTCTCTACCCAATCTCTTACTACTCCATTTCGCTCTCTCTTTTTAAACTACGACAAGTGCTGCATCTGCACGCAGCCCTTCCCACAGTCAAACGGCCTCCGACGGGTAGCTTAGATCTGCACGCAGAGCTCTCCGTCATCTGCCACCGAGCACACGGCCTCCTCCAGCGCCCACTGCTCCTTGAAGGCCGGCACGGCGTGGGTCAGCCGCGCACGGTGGAACTCCAGCAACACCCTGGCTCCGACAAGAGCGCGGAAGATGCCCAGGCTGCTGGCTGGACGTTGCCCCTCCAGGGCCACCTTCCTCGCCCTGTATATGGCGAGCTTGGCGTAGCCGAAGAGCACGTTCCTCCCTCCCTCCCCACACTCTCTCCCTCGCTCTCTCATCTCTCTTCTCTTTTCAGGTCAAAACGTCAAAGGCGAGGGAGGGGGGAGCTCGCGAGCGGCCGCGGTGGGAAGGAGAGAGCTGGGGGGGGGGGGAATTGGGGGAAGAGAGACGGTGAAGAAGGAGAGCGGAGAGAGAGAGAGAGCAGAGGGGAGGACAGAGGAGCAGGAGAGAGAGGGGAGGAGAAGAAGGAGAGGGGAGGAGAGAGGGTGTGTGGAGGGGGGGGGGGTCCCGCAAATAACCATGGCACTTGCGGCAGTGCGCACAAAAATCTTGTCTTTATGTTTGCTTCCCAATTGAGCAGCACAATGGACTGAATTGCCCGCTGGAAAACCATTACAATGGCATAGAGACTCGCGCGCGCAAGCCGCGTTTGTAATCAAACAGCCCCGCGCGGGGGGGGGGGGGCCGGGATGTGAGAGTGAGTGAGCTGAGCCTCCCATACATACACATACACACGCGCGTATACATAGAGACTCGCAGATTAAAAGACTTCGGGGACACACAGACTCACACATCGAGAGCTTTAACATACTCAGACACGCACAGATATATACAAACGTGGACACGGACATTTTGTACGGGCTAACATAGGCGTATGGGTATACAGACACAGACATTGATACAACAACAAAAACAACTCATAAAGGCGTACAGATATACAGGGTGCTTCAAAAAAATGTTGACACTTCGAAGAATTTGCAACAATGCCACAATAAATGTGCGGTCTCCGAGTTCTAG